ACCCGCCAAACCCCCCCCCCCCCGTCCCGAGGCGCCCCGACTTACTTGGGTTGGGGCCCCCAGGTCCCTGGTCTCTGGGTCCTTCAGGAGGAGACAGAAAAACAGAAGGTGAGCAGAGAAGCAGGGGGGCGGCGGGGCAGCAGAGTCCTCCACAGCTCCCCACCCACCCACCGTCACACACTCACCCAGCCCACACCCTCGCCCCCATTCGCCACCCGCCTCCCCCCTTCCACTCGCTCCATCCACACCGCCAGCCTGCACGGCACGCAGCACACCCGTTTCCGAAACAACCGCCCAGTAGGGGGGAAAGAAAAAAAAAAGATATATTTCCACGCCTTTTAAGAAGGCATCCGTGTTTTTCCACTCTCCTAAGGTATGGACACGAAACGCATTCCTGACTGCTGGCCAGCTCTTGCTCTGCGTACTTGGTCAACACCATGCCTCGGATCCACTCGTGAGGAATAGGTGCTCTCTGGCTAAACTATTGGGGAACCCACACCCCCAGTCAAAACGAAGAGAGATGCAGGAACCAGCACTGCGAGGCTGGGCTTGTGGAGAGGGAGACAGGCCGTCGCCCCCCCCCCGGCCGGACCAGGACTGGACCAGACCAGAACGGGTAAAGGTTTATCCCACACTGAAAGGAAAGCCTTCCGGCGTGGTAAAAACCTTCACACCCGGTCCTTTGCAGCCTACGCATGTGGACGCAGCTCCCTGCTTGAACTCCTTGGGGGACAGGTCAGGTCCGATACGATGTCATTGGGAAGGTCCGGAATACTTTTATATTCCACATGAGCCCCGTGTTTCAACGTCCCCAGATTGACACCAGCAGCGCGGAGCCCAGGGCAACCGTCCGCACCCCGAAGCCCTGCGGAGGATCATGCACTGAGCTCTTCCAACAGGAACACCGCGTCGTTCGGGGTCGCCGCATGTCGAAAAAGCGGCCAGTCACCAAGCAGGTTGTAACCGAGCCCACACACCGAACAAAGCAGGTTTTTCCCCCCCAAACCCAGAGAGAAACGCCCCTCGCACGGGAACATAGCCTTTAACGCTATTTCTACAGACACTGTACAGAGAGTTGAATTGGATCCAGTCATGAAACCAAACCAGGTGTGTTTTCTTTTCCATTTACGTTTGTATTTTGTAAATCTTGCACCAATGCTTTCTCACACATTAAACTCCACACAGACCCTCAAGAGTTACAGAATTATAAGAGACAAACGGGCTATTTCTAGGTGTGGGTTTGTTAAAGAACACCTCCAGTTTCTCTGTTTTTACCTAACCCCATGTTTGACTTTGCCCCTGTTTTACAAGAAACATTCACCGACCCTTTATGAACAACCACCATAAACCTTTTTTTAGCTCCAGTTTGTCACAACCATTCACCCGTTTGAAAGCAAAACCTGCCTGAGTCAGATCTAAACCATCACATTGCCACACCTCGTTTCTTTTATTCCAAGGTTTCCTGTCCGACTTGAACTCCAAACCCTTCGTGAATTGGCCCCACTCTGGGGACAGGACCCACCAACACACCAAACCAATCATTTCTTACCCCCAAACCAGGAAGATTGAAGAGTTTAAAGAGCCGTTAACACACTTTAAAGGACTCCAAACTAGAAGACATTTGGGCTGTACACACAGAACTCATGCAGACCTTGAAGATCCATGAGGCGAATCATGCAGGCTGTGCACCGGGACCTGATCAATGAGACCCACAACATTCCCTCACATATGGCCCTGCCTATCCAGTGAGATGTGCTCATTTCCACTGCACCCCATGGGGAAGAAACCATCCTGCAGAGCTTCAGGGTAGTGAGCAGAGAGGTACCCCCCTAGATTTCACCAAACTCACTCCAAACCTTTGTGGGGAACTTCCAGTGTTGCACAGGAGCTACACCCAAACCAGTACCGAAGGAGAAATCGGACCTCAACCCCCGCCGGCGCTTCTCCCAGCCCCCCACGCGTCGAGGGGACGCCCGCGCTGGACCTCCCCGAGGACGGTCCCGTCTCGGGGCCAGAGAAGCGCCGCGGCGGGACCAGACGCGTCCGCGCCTGCGTCCGCATGGAGACGGCGATCCAGCGGTTCGGCCTCTCCGCCCTCACAACCGTTGCCATCCGTCTGACGGAAGAGCAGCCCCCTCCATGATCCCCTCCCCCCGACAGAGAGGAGTCTTCGCCGGTGAGAGCCTCGAGTGGACAGTCCTCCCTGGGACACCGGCCGGCTCAGGCAGCGCCCTCACAGACCCAAATGGTGGGCGTTCACAGACCAGGCGAAGCGCCACATCCTTTTTTAAAGGTCCTTCATGCGACCGGCTCGTGCCATTACGCCACCTGCCTACCACCGCCAGCCCGCTGGGGCTTAAGACCTCCACACACCATTCAGAGATGCCACGTTGACCGTACCACCTGAAGGAGTACCGACCCCCTCCCCCACACACACGCAAAGAAAGTGGCATGCACCGGGATCCGGATCCTCAAACGGTAGAGGCTTTCGCACTTGTGCGCTGAAGGCGTCCAGTCTTGGGGCACCTCGAATGGAGAAGTCCTGAACACACAGATCGCACTGAACTGACCCAGAGTGCATGCAAGGATGTGTGGAAGCCCCACCCCACCCTGTGACTTTCAGCGGGCGGCGTGACCCTGACCGCGGAGGGGCAGTCCGGGGGCCCAGTGCCACCCCCCCCCTTGACTTCATTAGTAGTAGCCCCCCCCCCCCCCCCCCCCCCCCTCCCCCCCCCCCCAACACTCATACACCCCTCCCCTCCAAACACAGTGAAATGTCGAGGTGTTGTTTCTTTGACTTACCACCATACTTATTGAATCCTCCGCGATCACCCATGCTGATGGAGACACAAAAAGTGAGACGTTTTGAAGGCTGGGGCCGGTATTGGTACCATCTCATCTTTTCTTTTTCCTCACAACACCTCCTTGCGCTCGCCTCTCACACTCTCTCTCTCTCCCTGGCCCTCAACTCTCTCCTTCCTCCCTCCTCCTCCTCCTCCTCCTCTCCCCTAAACCGGCCTTCTCCTCAACCAGCGTGTCCCGGAGAAAGGGCGCAGGTGCTGTGCCGCACCGGGGACCAGGCACACGGGCCTGCGCCCCCACCCACCTCTGGCTCAGGTAAACGCTAACGGGAGGGGGTGGGCGGGGGGACCTCAACCCTCGACCCAAACCAGGATGCTGCTCGCAAACCTTCACAAGGGACGACCCCCTTTTAGAAATCGGTTCGTACTTTTGAGCCTTATTCAAGTAACCCGGCTTAATGCCTCCACTTCGACTGAGATGTGCGCTTAAGTGAGCATTTAAGGTATGGTGAGTATGTTTGTAACCAAAAAAAAAAATACCATAACCCCGTTTGTACTCATTTCAGGCTCCTACAGGGGTGTTCTGGATATTCACTGATACCATTAATAACCGTTTTTACACATTTGGTACAGCACTTCTTTTCTTTAAACCTCAGTGGAACATTGCACCCTGAAACACTTTGAGACTGCCTTGACCCTCTGATTGAACCCCTTTCCCTTCTCAATCTCACTCCTCAAACCCCAGGAATCTTAGCCCAAGAGACAAGGAAAGGCTTTTGTATAACCTGTAGGGGAAAAAAAATGGAAAAAATCCCTGCGACAAGAGATGTAGAGATTCATTAACAGAGCAAAATAAACAATACTGCATTGGTACTGAAACAAAGGGAGCTCTATATAGATCAGAAGATTACAGACGCTTCTAGGTTTTATTCCAATCCACCTGAGCCACTTGCGGTCTTAATCTGAACTCATGAACACAGATCTGTACCCCTGACTGGAGACACTACAGCGCTGAAGGACTGGGGCTCTCAGGGCTGAACTGAGCCAGTTACTGTCTTCATGAGTCCAGATTATTCAAAAAGGAATGAACTATATAGGGGCCACATTGAAAGAAAAACCCCAAAGACATCAGGCCCTGTGCTGCCACTGCCTGGGCCCTGATCCCCTTCAAACTCTTAGTCTTCACTTACAGCAGGGGCAGTCAGCTCAGGCGCTCAGTGGCCATATTTGTGCAGCTTTTCCACGGGCAGGCGATTCAGCAAACTGAGCCCCAGAGGTGGAATAAAACCCAGAAGGCTCTGTGAAGCTCCAGCACTGGAGTCACTCACTCACCCCTCATCCAGGTAGGAGGGAGACACTCAGCCTCAAGAAGTGGGCAGGCAGTGTCAGTCGGTGTGTGTGCGTGCGTGCGTGCGTGTGCGAGCAGGGTTCTTAACATCTCAGTTCTTACTGATCGACCACATCGGAGATTTCTCTCCCCCTTTCGTTAACACGCTATACAGAAACTGGACCAAGATGATTTTTAACAAGCCATCCCATGACCGTTTCATCGGGCACCGCCCTGTTCAGAACCGCAAGCTGATTCTTTCACAGCACCTTCGAACCCAGAGCAGACTTTACTGTACCATCGCTGGGAGCTGGTCGTCAGAATTTCAGTATGATGGGTGGTTATTTGGTGTGGTCCCCCGAAAAAAAAACCAAAAGGGTTTCAGTACAGCTGTGCACGAGCAGTGCTGAACCAGTGTCTCTGCTGTGTAATTTAGGCCTCGTTCGCGATGAGGCACTTGCCCTTTCTTGTCAGCTACTGAGTTAACACCCAACTCCTCGACCCAGCGCACTCTCAACACACTGGACTTTTCAACATCGGGTTTTTGGCAAATGGGGAAAAAACCTTAATGACCTGCTGGTCAAAACTTTTAAAAGTGGGCAGACCAGTGAGAATTTAAGCAGCCTGAAAAGCACAAGTACCCAACAGTGCATCACAGTGGGAGGGGTAAAAAACCACTGACAGCCTATGAAGAAAAAGGTAAAAGATCAAAGAACAACAAATCAATCCACAGATGGTGTTTTAGGTTTCAGAAGACGTGGGTTGAATTTCTCCCCCCCCCCCCAACATTGTTGCCTTTCAGAAAGTCTGAACCGCCGAGTTTCGATTCCCTTATTCTCCTATTGACTCAAACTCGTCCTGCAGACGGGCGCAGGGATCAACCAGCTCTACTGAATCGGTTTCTCGTGAAGGAGGCCAGTGTCTGAGACCACCGAAGCAGACGTGAGTGTTAGGACTCTTCTCCGGCGGGACCCCGGGTACCCCTCGCCCTCAAGAGCGCAGCACTCCCAGAAGCCGGCGCAGTTTTTTGTGTTGTGGTTGGGAGGAGCGACTGGGGAGGGGGGGGACCGGCAGTTTCCGGGCTCTTCAGCCGTCACACTTCCCGTCACCGACACGGGGAACCCCCCCCACCAACACGCTCCGAACTGAGGCGTGTAACTTGTCATTCTCGTCACCCCTCTCACAGCCCGCGGTGCAAGGAGGAGAACTCCCAGGAAAAGACCAGGCAGCTGCAGCTGGACCCACCCGCTCACCAAGAGTATCTGAACCCCAGATCTGTGCGAGGTTACTGGCTGTGAACCCCAGTTTCTGCACGGCACAGTGGAGTCTAAACCCTTGTCTTCATCTCCATGCCCTGTGAGGCCTTTCCCATCCCCCCCCGGTGTGGAGCGGACGCCAAGAGGACCTACCTCATCCCCCCGCGGCCCCTGGGTCCGCCCCGGCCGCCTCGGTCGAACCCCCCTCCGCGGCCACCGAAGCCGCCAGCACCACCGGC